TCTGGTGTTGCCATCGGTCCCCAGTGTTCTAGTCTCTACCTTCGTAATCACTTGGATTTGTCCCTGTATATTTGTCTGTGTCACCTCTCTTCTTATAAAAACACCAGTTATATTGGGTTGGGTTCCACTCTAATTGAGCATGTCCTCATCTTAACTAGATTGCATCTATGGAGAAGACCCTATTTCCAAATAAGATTACATTCACTGGTATTGAGGATTTGTACCTGAACATATCTTGGAGGACACAGTGCAACCCATAATAGTGTTCAATACTAGAAGAGAACCAGCCTAAGATATTGGAAAAGGGAATTTAAGAACATTGTAATTTCTCTTTGAAACATTTTTCCATTGACTTACTACTTCAGAAGTCTTTCCAGTGAATCTCAGATCAGAAACCATAAACAAATTGACACTAGGTTCGGCTGTTTACTTAACACTGCAGTTGCCAAAATAGTGAATGACAATGCTAATGGTATGATAGAATCATTATCTTTTTTTAATCTTAAAAAACTTGTGATCAAACCTTTTTGTACCTTTTTAGCAGTTTTACTTGTAACAGGTTGTTTAAATGTAAAATAATAATAATGTTAAAAGCTAAATACTTTTAAGTGCTTTACCGCATTTCCTCTTTACAGTGCCTCAGTAAGGTGAAGAATGCTGTCATTCTTTCTGCACATAACCAACCTGACGCTTTGGACATAGGTGACCTGTCTGAGAGCTTCACCATAATTGGGCGAGCTGCCTTTGAACCTGGCAGCCTGACCATACAAATAAGCTCTCACCCTCTATTCTGTATATTGGAGTTTTGGGGTTTTTTTTCCTATTCAAGGCACATGAAATTGCTCGTCAGTATTTGTTTTTTAATTGAAATTTCCTATTTTGAGGTTATTGTCAATTCACAGGCAGTTAAGAGAAATATTTCAGAGGGATTCCTTGTATCCTTTACTAAGTTTCCCCCAGTAGTAACATCTTACAAAACTATAGTGTTATATCTCAACCAGCACATTGACACTGATGCTGTCAAGATACAGGACATTTTTATCACCACATTAAAATCACTCCTATTGCCCTCCTTTCCACACACCTTCTTTAGAATGACTTAGTGAGGTGAACCCTGGCAACCACCAGTCTGATCTCCATTCCTACAATTTTGTCATTTCAAGAGCACTATATAAATGGAATCATGCAGCATGTAATCTTTGGGGATTGATTCTTTTTACTCAGCACAATTGTATGGATTTCCATCTAAGCTATGACATGGACCATTAGCTTGTTCATGGTATTGCTGATTAGTATTCCAAAGAGTGAATGTACAGCAGTTTGTGTAATATTCACCTGTTGAAGGACATTTGAGTTGTTTTCAGCTGGGGCAATTACAAATAAAGCCACTATGAACATTAATGGACAGTTTTTGAAGGAAGGTAAATTTTCTTTTCTCTGGGATAAATCCCACGAGTGCAAATTGCCGCATCATCTGTCATTTGCATTCTTAGTTTTATAAATGAAACTGCCAAGCTATTTTGAAATGTAATTTTTTGTACCTTGTTTTGTATTCTTTGTATTTACATATTTAACACTTGGAAATTATACTTTGCAAAAATGACATTAAACACAATGTCAAATGCAATTTGTAATGGTTTTGAGGCATGGATGCGAGTCTCTTATTAAATAAGGCTATTTTTCTGGATTGGGTCACTTAACTAGTAGATGAGCCTAGCAGCTTGTTCAGCTTTTACATCATAGTGAGATTTTCTTTTTCTCTACTCTTAACTCTGTCGTGTAGGTGAATATACTTTCTAGGAGTGTTTAATGGTTATTAATAAAATAATGTGCTTTTATATGTCTAAAGGCATACCCAATTAATTTTGTTTTCAAATTAAGCCCTTCAAATATTCAGTGATTGAACTCTTGAGAGTTCAATATTAAGTCTGTATCTAAATACAGGTGCTATATATTTATATATTTAAATATATCTTTATTGATTTCAGAGAGAGGAAGGAAGAGGGAGAGAGAGAGAGAAACATCAGTGACGAGAGAGTCATTGATCGGCTGCCTCCTGTATGCTCCCAACTGGGGATCAAGCCCACAACCCGGCCATGTGCCCTGACCAGGAATTGATCCAGGATCTCCTGGATCGTAGGTCGATGCTCAACTGCTGAGCCATGCCCGGCCGGCCAGGTGCTATTTTATTGCAGTACCCATTCAAGCAAGTGCCATTACCTTTCTGTTCTTTAAAATTTCTTCGTAGATTGTTCTTTCACAAAAACAGCCTTTGTGATAAATGCATATCTCTAGGCAGTGGTTACAGTATTACTTCTTCAGTAGGACAATATCAAGTGTATTTACTTCTTATTTGACCCCTGTGCTTGCTATCTCAACTTCCATGCCCACAGCTATTGCATTTTTTCTCATCTTCAATTGTTTCTTCCATGATTAACTTTTCAACTGTGGTTTGTGGTTTTATTTTGCTTTTTTGATCTCTGATTTCTTAGATTACCCATAGTTCAAGAAAGAATTTTTTACATAGCAAAGTATATATTTGCATAGATGAAGCTCAGAAACTAATACAGTTTTTGAAAATACTTTATGCATTTTAAATTCCAAATAGGTAATAGGTTTTTAGTATCACATGTTATAGGAATTCAAAAGTTAAATTTTTAAAATTAAGAAAGCTTAAGATTAAACAAAAACAACAACCAGTAGTTACCTACCATTTTTAACAATTACAAATAGTGAATGTGATTTTCATCTGATTACTGGATGCTTGTCCTGCCATGGGCTGGAATTACCAAATGAAAATCTCACCTCACTAAACCTTAGGGAAGTACACTTTAATCAAATGGATTGATTCTGTTCAGTAGGTACAAACCTTTTTTCTTTGTTACAAATGAGTACTACATGTAAAAGAGAACTTTAATGAACATTGAAAAGGTCATTAATTAGTATGATGCCATGCATATGAAGTGAGCAAATTGAAGATTTCTCTGCTTTGGCACTTTTGACATTTTGGGCCAGATAATTCCTTAATGTGGGTGGCTGTCCTGTGCATTAAAGTATGTTTAGCAGCATCCCTGGCCTCTGCACACTACATGCCTATAGCATGAACGTGTTCTATCTTTAGTCTTTCATCAGATTTCACCTTTATGCTCTCTATGTTTTTAGACTGTGTCAGTGAAAATTCGGAGCCTAGAGATGGGAGCCGAATTGTCTCCACTAAAATAGAAAAGTGGACTGTTTATTTTGCTCCTCAGCTCTGCTTAGTATATACCAGACTTTTCTGGTCCCTTCCTGCCCAGCTGAATTTGTGTCCCTATTGTCCATTTTTCAATTTCTGTGTATGATTAGTGACTCCTAATACATATTTTGAGCTAAGGAATCAACAAATGGTAATGGTTCCTGGGTTACCTTCCCAAATCAGATTTGAATTTTGGTAGGCCTGAAAAGGCTGATTTAAATGGAAAATTTAAAATTTGGTCCAGGCTTTCCATATGAAAAACTGTAAACCTAATTTTACCCCACCCTATATTGTATGGTGTCACATGGATACCAGACATACCAGCTGATTGCTTTGTAAGTTGTATAAATGTATAAAACTAATATAATATTGTATGTCAACTGCAATTGAAAATTTTTTTAATTATTTAAAAAAAGAAAAATAAGTGAAAAGTAAATAAAATTAAGGCCAGGCCACTGACAAAGATGTTTTTGGTCAAATTAGCCCTTCAGTGCTTGTAGCACATTGTAGAGTTGTACTTTATTTGAATCCATACAATGGAGATCATGATTTCAAAAGCTTGGAAAGTCCCTTATGTGAGTGAGATACAGTCCAATCCAGTATCTCACACAGTGAGTGGTTGAATGAATAGCATTGTGGGGCATTGTGAAGGATGGGGTGTGAGCTTAAATAGGCAGATTTTGATTCCTCAGAGAGATCCCTGAATTATCTTAATGTCTTAAATTTCTTTATCACCTATACTGTCAAACCATCAAATCTCAGGAGTTCTTGCTTTGAACCATCTCTTGAATACACTTATCGCTTCTTCACCGAGCATTTAAATGCTGACCCCCCTAGCTACTTGTCTCTCCTCCATTCCCCTCTACCAGACTGGCTGAGTCACAGAAATCTCCTGGGTCCCTCCCCACCTGGCTCCATTGTGTCTTTTCTGCCTTATCGCCTACTCCTACTGAAAGGAACCTGCTTTCTAGCAGACCAGGTTTTTTCACTAAGTCCTGAATGTACAAGCTCATACCTGTTCTGTGCTTTAGTTTGTTTCTCGCTCTTGTGTGGGATGAAACTATTCATTCTTGCCACCTGATTGTATTCTTACTCAGCACCCTGGGTTCAGCTGAAGCCCACCTCCTGCACAGGGATATCCATAACTCCTTCTTTCCATATTAATTTCCACTTGCTTTTATCTGAAAGCATGGACAGCAGGCAGTACTCGTTTAAGCCCTTAGCAATAAATGGCTTTGTTCAAAGTGGTAACAAACAGCTCTGTGTGTGCATTTTGCCTCCTCCCCTAATTAATAAATTACTGGAAAGCAAGTGTTTTGTGTTTTTTATATTTCATGGATGTGTGATTATGTGTATAACAAGTACTCAGTAAAGACATATCAATGGCTGGCCAGGTACTGATTTCATTCTAATTCTATTTTGAAGTATTTTAAAACCAAAATCATATAGGCTTATAGAAACTGATATCACCCTGTGTAGTAGCAGACTAAAGCTAAGAATGGACTTTCTGGATATCAGAGAAGGAGAGTGTATTTCCTTAGGTGAGAAACTGAAAGTAGAAGCCTTGGAAACAGAAAATCAACTACTAGTCTGTAAAAGGAAATCTATTTGTGGTAGCTTTTGAATTATGGTGCAATGTATGTTAGATTGACCTACAAGTGATGGAAATGAATAAATCCAAAAAGAATCGTAGACATGGATGATAAAACATTTGATTACAGAATTCTAACTGATCTTAATTTTCTTCTTTTCAACACCCAGACACTTCTTGTTGCTGCACAAATGGACATTTGAAAGTGCTGTTGGCAAACACTTGCAAGCATGGAGACCTCGTCAATGCTGTCCTCACTGAATGATGAGTGTAAATCAGACAATTACATTGAGCCTCACTACAAGGAATGGTATCGAGTAGCCATTGATATGCTGATTGAACATGGGTTAGAAGCATACCAAGAATTTCTTGCCAAGGAACGAGTATCAGACTTTCTAGCTGAGGAAGAAATTAGTTATATTTTGAAAAATGTCCAGAAAATTGCACAAAGTACAGTACATGGTACTGATAATGCCTGCGATGACACCTCATCCTCAGGGACTTACTGGCCCATTGAGTCTGATGTGGAAGCTCCAGATCTTGACATAGGCTGGCCGTACGTGATGCCTGGACTCTTAGGGGGTACCCACATAGAGCTCCTCTTTCATCCACCAAGAGCACAGCTGCTTACAATTAAGGAAACTATTCGGAAAATGATCAAAGAAGCAAGAAAGGTAATAATATTTCTATTTCTAAAGAAAAATTTGAAATGTGGAAAAGCACCGGAAGAAAAACACATATGTATGTTAAAGTAATCTCTATATGTATAAACCGTGCCTATTATTTTCAGGAAATGTACATATGGCTGTATAGGAAGATTATATACTTATATCTTTCATATATCTGAGACAGTTGTGAGGTCCCTGCTAATGGTGGGGATTTCATTCTCCTCGTAATGTTCATACACCCAAGAGACCTTATGCCTGTGAAAGCTAAGGTGTGTGGAGAGCTAAATGAGATGATATGACATGTTTACAAAGTTCAAAGCACTGAAGTTTTCCTTAATCTCTGAAAGGAAATATGTCGTTGGTAAATCTGGTGAAATTTTCTTTGTTCTCAACAGGACTGAGCCTTAATTCTTGCTCTGGATATAGTTTATACTATTAAATAAATCATAGATTTACTTATTTCCTGAGTTGTGCGAAAATGGTATAAAATCAGACATGATAATGTAAAATTCTGAAGGAAGGTACTGAGGTCCACTTTTGGGCCTCGGTGTTCTCTATTAAACATTTGTGTTGGGTTATAAGTCTCAGAAATTCTATTTTAGAGCTCATGTTAAACTTTAGAAATTTTCTTTTAATCAATTAAAGTTATTGAGAGTTATCTATGTACTCAGCACCATGATAGTCACTTTGGAGGCTATAACAAAATTTCTTAAACTATTTATTGAACTCAACCTAGCATTTTAAAATGTATGGACAAAAACCTATGATTTTTACCTATAAAGTGTCTAGTTCTTAGTTACAGATACTATATAATATAGAAATTTAGATCTAAAAGGGACCTTAGGATGTACACATACATGAAGTTGCTTTCTTTCATGTCAACAAGACACAGAAATGTGTCGAAAGCATGCATTTATGAAGTACAGAAACACAAGAAATCTGCTGAAATCTACAGTGACACTGTAGACTGTGAGAGAAGCAACTAAAAGCCTCTCAGTCATGTTAAGGAGAAACCGTGTTCTGAGGCTGATGTCAAATGTAGGCTTTGCAAAAGAAAGATGTTTTTCTCCCAGACCTCTTAAGCTCAAATAGCCAGACTTTTTAGCTCTGTTAACTCCTTTAGCAGGATTAGATTAAAGAAAGCACTAATCTATTCCAATTTTTAAAATTTAGCTATAGAGTCAGGCACATGGTAGGTATCCAAACTTTTATTGAATGACTTGAACTGTCATTTCAATTTCCTGAACTGAACCATGAGTATTTTAAAAACTACTATCCTATGCTCTGTGAACAAGTCATACAATTTTGTTCTGTGAAACTACAGATTTTAGACTATTAATCTTTATAATAGTCTAAGTAGATTTTAGACTAGTTAGCCCATATAGACAAGGTGCTATGATCATTTTTAAAATAAGAGCAAATATTATTTTGAAATAAAAGATTGTCAGAACATGTTATTTTTTAAAGATTAAGCAGTTTTCGTTACTAATTTGCTCAGCAGATAAGTCAGTTTCTTATAATCCTTCAGAATCAGTGGAAGCCTATTAGTTATCAAGATAAGCTTTCTCTTTTTGAGCTGTTTTCAGAAGACAAATTCTCTTTATTGGTAACTCAGTGAATTGTCAAGGCAAATAGGATGATCTTTTATTCAGAAAATGTTTGAATAATGTTTATTTTAATGGATAGAAGAAAGTTTCATGCCTCCAAATTTCTCGGATATTTTTTTGGTAATCAACATTATGAAACTCTATGAAGATATGAAGCCAAACAAGTAGGGCTAGAAACTAGCAAACAGAACCCAGAAAGCCATCTCAGAGAAAAATTTAAATCCATTTTCACTGTTCTGTTTGCAACTGAGATAAGGTACTTATGAATATAAATGTCATATTATTGAAAAATCTTGAAAGAAAGAATCCAAAAGCAGTTTTTTTAGCAGTCCAAACATCTGAAGTCTGACCATAACCACCGGGTAACCTTGTAGTCTTTTGAGAAAGTAAATAAAAATGATACTATATCCTATTTATCTTTACTGGAAATATCTTGTTTTTGAATTTCACTAGCTTATATGTGTTTGATGTGTTGGCCTTTAACAAATAACCAGATATTTCTCCAGAAAAAATAGGTTTATTCAGGAACAAAAATGAATAGCAATTTGGGACATGTGGTCTAATGGCAAACCATGCTCAAGTCCAGAGAACAAAGGAGATGAATTTTTTTTTTTATAAAGGAAATGGGGGACTCAGATGGGATATTGTAAACAGAATCCATTGGAGGAAAATGAGAATTTGAAGTGTAGTGGTTTTTCATTGGCTGAGTTGTAACAGTCTTTTACTGGCTGAGCGGCTGCTGGTCTGGGAGAAGATCCTCCTTCCTGCTGGAGTAGTGATAGAAGAACATCTTCCTGTTGGAGATGGGAATTAGCAAGGAGAGTCAGTACATGAGAACCCCCCCCCCATAGGCCCTCCCAACTCCAATTTAAATGAGGTCCTGTTTCTTAATCTTCACAATTTCTCTCTTAAGTAATATAAACTTTAAATCATTCTACTTTTATAAGAAGAATGTAATCTTGATAATATTTTAGGAAGCCATAGATTTATTTTTATTGCTTCTGTTTTTTGCCTGTTGTCGCTTAGAAGTTGTTTAGAAGGTTTCTTTCTTTTCCTTTCCTTTTCTTTTGCTTTCTTTCTTTTGTATGTTTGCTTATATTGAGAATTTTCCTTTGGGAAAATCCAACTGCAGATAACATCTTACTTGTGCCCTAAAAGGACCATGTTTTTATTTACTGGCCCTTTTTCTAACTTCTTTCTATTTTTCACTATGTGGTTGACATATTTGGGTCAACTATATAAAGTCTGATAGTGTCTAGCAAGACTTTCCCAGGTAATTATTTGTCTCTCAAGAGGTGTTCCCAAGATGATATATGCATGTATTCTTAATTACTGTGAATACCTCTTATGAAAGCATCCTCTCTAATTACTTAAAAAAGTCATCTTTCATTAAAGTAAATTTTCTTCTAGCCACTCAGTGGTAGATATCCATAAATTATAACTTTTGATAGTCTTGAATATGTAAATGCTTTACCAGAATGCCATTTGCCTCTCTGTTTCCTAATTCTAGGCTAGTTGCCTCTGTGAGATGTGAATCTTACTCTTGTGAAATACGGAATCAAGAAGATACATAAGCAAAAGTCTAGTGAGAATTAGGGCAGAGTAATTCCTGAGGTGCTCTGTACTGCATCTCCTGAGTTCAGGTCCTGGTTCCTCCCTGAGTCACTGTTCCTGGGTGTGTCTGTTATGGCCTAGGGAGTTATTAGTAATACAGAGAAACATTAACTACAAGCTGATCCCATGGCTGCAACTGGGAAGGCGAACAGATAATGGGGCGTTCCCTGGGATTTGACTGGTATTATAAAAATAGTACTAGATTAGAGGCTTGATCACCAGGGTTCTACCACTGAGTAGGTATGGATTCAACAAGTTGTTGCACCTCCCCAGGTATCTTCATTTATTTACTGAAATATATGAAGCAAAGCATTTTAGTGTTTTTAAAACCTAGTGTTCCTATCTAATTCTCTTAATAGTGCTAACCAACTCAAGATTATTCCAATATCTTACACTCCTTGCTGAATTAGTCCATTTGTGAATAATTTTTATTGTGTCATAGTGTGTCACTTCCGCCTGCATTACTTTGCAACTATATCCTGGCCAGCTAAATGATACTTATGTATTCATCAGTGCCTCTTTTAGATTGGGATCATCTCTCCCCTAATGTTCCCAATTTTTGTTAAGAACTTCCTCTCTACTTCCTCCGTATTCCATCTCTCACGGTGAATGTCTTTTTCTTTGAATTTGAGTCAAAATTTGTTTCTTCCAGGAAATATCTTTTGCTTAGTCAGATTTAATGACATTATTATCTCTTGATAATAATTTGAACGCCTCTTCTCTGAACAGAATGTATTATTTGTTAATATATATTTGTATGTATATGGGGGGGAGGGAGAGAGAAAGAGAGATCTTGTTAAAATTGCACTGACCTTGCCACCATGTAACTCTTGCTGTGTATGGGAATAGTCTTTCTGTGCCAAACTTCTGGTGCTCTACAGAGAGAGAACACATTCCGTTTCTGCTCAGCTCATTCACACACTCCCTACGCTACTACCAATAACCATGATAATATCAAGTATATAATTTTTAATACAAGGACCTAAGGGAGAGGAAAGAGGAAAGAAGATAGCATGTAAGGACTCTTTAACTTCATTGCAAGATAGAGTTTTGGGTTTCCTTGACTGATTTGATAAAGCCACAGTCTTTTTTTTTTTAATTGCCAAATTCAAATGATGCCCTTTTTAAAAAGAGGGTTTATGGAATGGTATGAAGGCCCTGAATCTTAGAGTCTCAAGCAGCTATTTGTATTACACGTTACCCTACTGCCTCTCTGAGGCTTATTTTTCCCACCTGTAAAATGGGGGTCTTAATACTTTATAGGAACCTTTTGAGAATGGAATGAAATAGATGGTGTGTGTAACGTGATACCGACCACACATTAAACACCCTGCTCCTGCCCCTGCGCCGCCTCCTTCTCTTACCACATCATTCTGGAGCTTTATTTTGTAAAAAAATAAAAATAAAATCTATTATTCTGTATTTTTGCATCACTGTGATTGGGTATCTGTTCTTTTTTTTAACATTTAAAAAATGATTGGTTGATTGATTTTTGGAGAGAGGGGAAGGACGAGAGAGAAAGGGAAAGAAACGTGGATTTGTTTTTCCCTCTTTTTATGCACTTGCTGGCTGCTCCTTTTGTGCCCTGACCAGAGACTGAATGCACAGCCTTGGTGTTTAGGGACGGTCCTCCAACCAACCGAGTTAACCCGCCAGGGCTGGGCATTTGTTCTTTAAAAGTCCCGTATGTAACAAGACGCTACGGTACTAGGTATGCCATCTAGGATGATTCGCTTTTGTGAAATGACTATTCCCGAAAATACTTAAAGGCTTCTGAAGTATCAT